CAACTCCTCCTCATCCCCTTCCTCCCACGTCAACGGATCCTCCTCATCCTCCCCGCCAAACGCCGCTCCATCCCCCAACGGCGCATACCGCGCACCACCCCCCCCCCCCCCACCCGCACCGCGTCCCCGCGCAAAGTAACTCCCCCCGCGTCCACCTAACGCGCGTTTGATACGGTCTAAGAGCGAGTCGGAGTCTGATGCGGGTTGTGGGCTGGATCGGTACAGTATCGAGAGGTTAATAAAAATGAAAGTAGTGCAAAAGGGAAAGTGGAGGACGTACGTATGTGTTGGTAACGCCAACCCGCCCTGCGCGGACGCAAAGTTGGGTCTGTTCACGAAAAGGGAGAAGATGCGGGCTTCCTGCAGGGCGTGGAGGTATCGGTCGGGTAGGAGGAGGAAGTCTAGTAGGCCGAGGAAATCTAGGATGTTTTTGCAAGGTCAATACGAACGTAACGGAGAGTGAGATGACCCGATGGGTGGAGCTTACATATCAGTCCAGCCAAGATCCCGGCAGCGTGGCCGGAGAAGGATGCGCTGGGTATGATTATTTGGATGATGATGGCGAGGAGCCAGGGGTAGGCGATGCCTGGGATCGTACGTCCAAACACACTAAGCGTAGAAGGAAGAGAAAGACCGTAAAGAGTATATTAGTACTCTGTGATGATGCGGTGAAGGAGGTCCGACTTGCTTCGCAAACCCGTCGGCTTCGCTTGCGCACATCCGTTGCTTTTGCTAAAGCAAGAGCGGTATGCTTCGTCCGTGTGGGAAAATGGATGAACAAGGTCCCATTTGCTTCGCAAATCAATAACGCCTTTGCTTCGCAAACCATTTGCCTTTGCTCCGCAAATCCGGGCCAACTGGGGGTTAGAGCAAGTCTAATCCCAAGTTGGCTAGTCCCACCAGAGCACATCGCTTCGCTCCCCCATCACCAAACTAACCCAAAGCCACAAAATCAACCCGTCCTCACCTTCTAGACTCAAACACCCCCCTCTGCCCCGCAGCCTCAACCGCCAAAAACGCAAAAACCAACCCCGACAACCCCGCAGAACACGCATGCCCCCACTCGCTCCTAAACAGTCCAAAAAACGATCCTATCCCTACTTGCAGGAACCCAGAGACGAGGGTGAGGAGGAGGGTGAGGTGGAGGAATTGGAAGGTGCCTAGCTCGGTTTCGCGTGGGGTGGCGAGGACGGGGAAGGAGAGGAGGTTGAAGAGGAGGTGGAGGAAGGAGAAGTGGAGGAAAGGGTGCCCTAAGAGGCGGGGGACTGGGTGGGGAGGAAGGTGTGAGTTTATGATTATTCTTGCGTGGGTCTCCGCTTCGATGATTGGACGGTTCATTTCAACGAGGAATGTCACCGAAACACTTCCTCAACCCAATTCCTTGGCATTCACTACACACGTTTCCCAGTCTACCTGCCCTTCCGCCATCAACATTCCTCACCACCTCCACCACACCCACTCTTCCCACACTCACAATTATGCACAGGTCCAAACAGATAATCCAACGGCGCCAGACACGCCTGCAGTGCCAGTTTGTTGTCCCCCATGATCAAGTTGACAAAGTACAGGATGACGCAGGTGATTATGACGAGGAGGGTTCCTATGGGGAGTGTTGGTATTCCTTTGAGGGAGGATAGGAGTGAGTTGAATACGGCTGCGGGTGTTCTTCGGTCGGCCATTTGTGCGTGGGTTTGATGGTGGGAATTATCGTGGGATGATGATGGATGGGAGGATCTTTTGCCAGCGCGATAGGGATCTTAAAAGGGATCTTGGCCCCTTTGACATACGCATGTGGCGCAGTACTAGGGAAATATTTACGCGACTTCCACTTGATCTTTGGTTGTTTTGGGGGTGCTCGTATATATAGTAGGTGATGGACCCCCCCCCAGGGATTGAGAGTATCTACCACCTATTTAAAAAGCAAATCACACACGCCGAAAAGCTGCAAAAATAACATTGTTGGAGTAGCAGGGGATTGAACCCTGGGCTTTTCGCATCTTCGAACCATCGGAGACGGCACTGCAAAGCGAACACTCTACCACTGAGTTACTACCCCGTCGGTTGAAAAACTATAGCAGTTGCGGTGGTATATAAAGGAGAAAGCGATTTTTTATGACACGAGGGGTAGCACCCCGGTTGTTGCGAAAACAGTAGCCTCCCGGCAGAACATGCAGGAAAAGGCAAATTTTGGTTCTAAAATATGTAAGGTGACGCTCGCGCCGCAGAACATGTAAGGGGAAGCGACAAAGACGAATTACGCGTATCTGTGGAATGACTGGAATATGAAAAATCTGCCGCCAGGGAGAGACTTCTCTGTTGTGTCGGAAGCAATCTGCAAAAGCAAGGAGCACTGTAGGGAGTTATGCGGTGCATCGCCGACAAATTCAACTCAATGGCAGGCGACTTGCAGAAGATGTTGGTACCGGCGCAGACGAGGAAGAAGAACAAGAAAAGACACGGCGGAGAAGATCCGGCAGAAACAACGTGAGCTCGGACGCGGCTCAGACTCAGGTCGAGGACGGTGAAGACTTAGAAATAGGAGATGAGCTATTGCAAACGGCGGATGCGACAGAAGAGGAAGTTGTGTCGGACATTGTCGAAACATTGGATACGAGAACATATGGTGACAAGGAAGGGGACGAGGAAGAGAGTGGTGACGAGGCGCTAAGGGGACGCAAATCTGGGCAGAAGAATAAATAAAATCCCAGCGCGAGACGAGATGGACTCACCAGGCACCATGGGCGAGGATTTGGAGGATAATGGAGATAATGTTGCATCGGTGCAGGATGACGCTCTGAATCGGGGGAGACGAAGGCTTTTGGATGAGCCGCCGAAAGTGCATCCTCCACGATGACGTACGGTTCTTACTGGTCTGTGGCGGAACGGTCGCAATTTTCAAAATCATTCGTTGCGCTCGGAGTGGATTAGGTGGATTGGGATCCCATCGCAAAGGACATACTGTAGGCAGCAAGTCGGCCGTTCAAGCGCGAAATTACCATCACACAAATTTGGTGCCATGCTCCAACAAGGCCAGCAATCAGACGAGGATGTGCAAGGTTTGGCGCTTATACGTAACCTACTGTGTGTCTTCCCCTAATAGGGTTCGAGTCATCACGACATTCGGATACCCTGAACGCGTCACCTACTCGGCCGCGCACACCCCTTTACCTCCTGCGACCTCCTCGAAGCCCCTGCAAGCCAAACCTTTGCACCGCCTCAGAGTTCGATGGTACATCTGGTATATAAACCAAGCTCAACGGCCCTCTTCGGCCCCTCGGTCTTTTCAGCTCGTTTCGTGTGCCCATCGTCCCAAATAACCCCCTGTGGCATCTAGCGAAGTTATTAGCTAGTAACCATGCTTTCTCTTTCTCTGCGGAGTGCAAAGATCGTCTTATGGAGTATCCTAGTCAGCTTATGGTAAACCTACGTTACCGTAGCACTTTGTCCATTCACACCACCATGATAAACTCACTGCAAGGCGTGACCAAAGGATCACGTACATGGGGATCTCCATTTATCGATTCCATACCCAGCCAATGGTCTTGATACCCCGGCAAGCGAGCATTGAAGATGAGCCGGTCAAATATCCAAGTGAATCTAAACTTGAGCCATTGCATCTGCTGGATGCTACCGCAGAATTAAATGGGCCTTTCCAGATTTTCTAATCTTCGGTTACCTGGGCGCTCTTGACAATAATTCGCTGGTGACCGTGAATGTGCTATCGGACAACCCTGTGGCGGTGTTTAGCTACGCGTGGGGACGGAGTAGGTGGTCCCCAAAGTGAGTACATCCAGCTTTACATGATCTAATCCATCTGTAGACGTGGCAGATAACTCGAGGGATAACCATTATTTGGGGAAAGCCTTCGATATCAGCTTTCAGAATACAACACTCAAGGTTGTCCCTCATCATTTATGGACCATTTACTTTCGCCCAAAACGTAAGCAAACACACGTCACCCCGCTGCGTCCGACACCTTACCCGAAACAGCATCCTTTCCGTTTAAAAGATCAGCAGGCACAAGAAGGCTAGCGGAACTCACAGTAACGGTGGACAGCTATTTCAGCGACTTCATGATGAGCGTGTTCGGTACGATTGTGCTGCTACATCATCGCATCCAATCATTATATATACGACAATCTACCATTTCTAGAACCGCCCGCAGGATTAAACTTGCAGGATCCTGCTGTACTCCAGGACTGGTTAACGGACAACTTCGGCATGGGCGACTGGGACGACTGGGCTGTTACCATTCCGTGGAATTACACATCTAACGCTCTTCTCCAGCCGGAAGTAACAAGGTAAGGCGCATGCAGCAACCATTTCTTTGTTGTTTCCTGACGTAATACCTTCGCTACATGATACCTTCACCAGAAAGAAAGGTAGTCCCTGGAGAGACATTCTCGTCGGCCCGCTCGAGAAGCTTCTGAAAGTGCCCGATCGCACTTGGAAGTGGACTATCAGGAGAAACTACGAACGACCCAAATTACCTCCCTTGGGTAGCAGTGGTAGCAGTGACCTGTCTTTCAATGGGCGGGCCTCAGCTGTCACGGTTTACGAAGACACGCTTACCATCCCTTTCAACAGTGTAGTCAACAGGTCGGTAGTGGATGACCATTTGCATGGCTGTATAGACCATGCATACTGACGTCTTCCTTCAAAAATAGCATCCTTTCGCCTGCCGCGGCGGTCCTCGCAATCGTTACATTCTTCCGGCTCAGGCCGCTACAAACCGTACGGACACGCTCACACGTGGTTTTACTTTCGTCGACAAACAGCGGCCGATAGTGAGCCGTTCAAGATTTTTCCAGCTACGCATGGTGAATATGAAACGAATCAGGGATCGGAAGACCGCATGAAGGTATTGGAGGATAGAATAAAGGCTTGTGAAGAGCTGCGAGAGCTGCTTCTTTCCGAGTACATCAAAGTTCATAAGTCACGGGCTAACGTCGGGAATGATGGTGGAGCGAAGATGGGATACAAATCGGTCGAGGAGGCACAAATGTTGGACCACGGAGTGACGCAGGGCGGGGACGACGAAGATCAGCGGTCGTCGGCTGTGCCCTTCTGTTCTTGTTGTTAAGTGGCGGTGATGGTGTAGTGGTGTTCCCGCGAACACGGGGTGGCGGACAGACGGGTCAAAATGGGGAGAATTGCGGTGAGGGTGGTGGGTGGTGGTGAGGCATTTGGAAAAGGGGTGTGGGAGTGCGGTGGTTTGGTGCGTGTGCGTGGGGGGAGAGGTGGGTGCGTGGGATGCATACTCTCTCGGCTGAAACTATAGAATTGATTGTTAGACGACGCTCGCACGGCAGAGTATGTAGGGAGAAGCGACGATCTCGCGCCAGGATATGTAGGGGTTGTCGTAAACTGCAGTCCCGCAGGAGATATGTAGGAAAAAGCTGTGTGGTGGAGATGGAGGTGCATATGAAGAATGTGTGTGTGTGTGTGTGTGGAAAAAAAGGCCGGGTGTCGGAAAGCGAAATGGGTATCGAATCCGCGATTTGCGCAGCAAAGTCGAATGGCCAGCGAAGCAAGCGCATGTACGGATTTGTGAGCAAATCTCACCTTGTTTTGCACACTTTCTCACACATATGAAGCATACCGCTCCCCTTGTTTCCGCTTGTGGTTTTACCAAAAGACTCGGTTTGGCCGAGGGGTATTGCGAGTATGGCGTTGATGGAAGGGAGAGATTGCGCCAGCAGTGTCCACTCAAAAAATCTGGATGAGTGAGAAAGCGAGAGATGGGCACGAATGCCTGAGGTACATGGGATCTTTGCGGTTGAGTGGATGGAAGCGCAGGTGATGCGAGTAGGCCCGGCGAAAACGCTTGGATATTTTGCACAATAGGGCCGCGTTCAATCTCAAAGAGATTTTGGCATGAACTCCAAACGGCAAATCAAAACTGGTAGATCAATGCTAATTTTTCACCGTACGTTGGTTCTTGTTCCAGATCCACATACACACCATCCCAGCGGCCAAACTGCCCCTCCCGCACGTCGCAACATCCCGTACCGCATATTCCACCCCAGCATTGATCTATCTGTTTGAATGCGACGCCGACACCATCAGCGAAACCCAACGCAAACCAAAACGCTCTACGTCTCGCAAGAACCTCTTTAAAAACCTCCTCCAAGGTGCACGTAAAAATTAGGACAAACAGCACCCGCCATCTGCATCATCGTCAAATGCGGCCTCACCCGTCCTTGCGCCCTTCCCATCCGCAGGCTCACGAAACGGCTCCAATGACAGCTCGAGCGTGAAAAGCAGCGACTCTGACACCGACCACCACCACCCACGGCACGAACCTCTTGAAGGACCTGATGATGCACAGCCGTCACAAACGGAATACATCCAACGCTTTGTCTGACAAATCCCATCACAAAGCTCCCGTTGGTGTAGGAGGAGATTGCTCGCACTTGAACGGTCTGAAAACCGAAGACCGCCCCGTGAATATGCTCCGGAGTTCAGCAAGACGAGTTTATCCGAGTACGGGAAAAAAGAGGAGATATTGGGCAAAGGTGCCAACGCTGTCGTCAGGTTATGTTGTCCCCTGAAGTCCGACAAGAAATAAGCCATCAAGGAGTTTAGAAAAAGGAGGAAAGACGGGACGCAGAAAGAATACATCAAAAAGTTGATTGCGGAATTCTTCATCTCGTCCTCGCTCGACGACCCCAATGTCGTTACATCATCGACCTTATCCAAGACGAGAAACGGCAGTGGTGCGTGGTTATTCAGTATTGCGCAGGAGGAGACTTGTATGGCCGAATTCATGCGGGGAATTTGCAGGAGGGTGTTGAAGTTGAATGGTACGTCATCATACTCCCTCCCGTTTGTCCTCCCTTCTTTTTCTGGCACTGCAGGTCCCAACAAACTGTACTTGCAGCTACTTGAAACAACTCGTCAACGGCGTGCACTACCTCCGCACCATGGGCGTTGCCCACCGCGACCTCAAACCCGGAAACCTCCTCTTACACTCGTCAGGCCGTATCCTCAAAATCACCGACTTTGGCGTGTCAGACGTGTTCCGCATACCGTTTTGTAAAACTGCGAAAAAAG